CGCGGTGTGCGGGGCCCGGGCGGTGTCACCCCCCGGCATTGCTCGGCCCTGGAGGGGCATCACGCCCCTACCCGCAGCCCGGTGCGGGCCGCTCCGCTGGGCACGGGCTGCCCGAGGGAGGGGGGCAGCTCCCCGGCCGGGCTTCCCTCAAGGCGCTTTAGCTGCCCTTTTTTTTGGGCGGGGGGGGGCGGGCTGTAGCCCTTTGAACAATAACACCGCGGTGCAAAGGGGTTAACGTGCTGCTTTGTTACAATTCCAGTTTCCTAATCGTCCAAATCTTACTAACCTGGTTGATGCAGGTGAAGCCCTGGGCTCAGAGGGGACTGGTGGGGGGGTGTGTCTAGGAAAAAGCCTAGGACTTGATTTGAACGTCTTTGTCCTCCTCGTTAGACTTTCCAACTGAACACTTTGATGTTTCTTCTTCCCTGGCATGTTAAAAGTCCACATAAAGACCTTCACAGCTGACTTCGGTTCCTTGTGTGATGTTTGCCTTTATTCTTCCTGCTCTGAGATTTGGGATGTATATTTTGGGGTTTATTCTGTGTCAGTGGTGTGAGACTTCACTTCTGCAGATAGGTTTTGTTTGTTGGGTTTTTTTTTTTAGTTGCTTCGTGTCTAGTTGAACTTTGTTCAAAAGAGAATATTTGGGTTCTGATACCTTGGCACTACTAGGTATTTCTGTAGCTGTGATGCATTTTGTGCTTATATTTAGCTCTTTTTCACTTGAATAATTTTTTTTTTTTTTTTTTTTATTATTGTTTTTGCAGATGACACCACTGGTAAGCAAGAAGATGGACCAATTTCTGGGTGAGTCCAGAGGCTGTTTATTCGTTATAACAATATATGCTGCAGAGAAGATCCAAGCCGTGTTAAGCGTAGCTTCACAAATGCTTCAGACCCATGCCAGAAGCAGCAGCCTGTCCCTTTCCCATCCCACGGGGTCATTCCCTGGCTGGCACAGCGTTTGTGGATTTGGAAGGTGAACTGGATCAGTCCCCTGATTTGTCTTCAAACTAACTTTTAACGCTTTTTTCCCTCCCTCCCCGATTAGTTTAAAATCAGATCGGTTTTCCAGTTTAATTCCCTGGGAAAAATGGTGCCTTGAGGATTGGCCTTTGTGCTGGGCTGGCGTTGCTAAAACTGTGGCCTGTGCTTTAGCCTGGAAAAGCTGAACACCTTGAGCCTAGGTTAAAATCTTGACATGATCAAATCCCCAAATTACGTGAGATCTGTGAAGTATGTGGTTTGGGTACGACTTTCAGATAAAAGCCTTGGGGACAACTCAATGATCAGTTTTGCTTTCAGCCCTGTCCCCAGTCACAGCACCCCTGGATTTGTAGCAGCGTGTTTTGCACCAGGAGAGTTTTCTTTCGGCAGAAATGTTACCTGTTCGCCCTTTTTAAATGTGACAGGGTTCTCGGAAGGCTTGATCTTCACTGGACTTCTGTGTGCTCAGCACCGTCAAAAGTTCGGTTTAGGATTTATTGTCCTTTAAGGTCATTGTGAATTCAGTATCTGGAACTTGTGAGATCGTTCTGGATACTGTCCTACTTCTGTAGTAAGTGTCCCGTGCTTAGGGAACATGACATTTGTTCAAAAACAAGTTTTAGGCAAACTTGGTAAATTGTTGCCTGAAAACATCAAAGGAGCTTTGTGAGAAGGAACAACTTTTAGTTTAGATAGAAATTTACTGCTGACTTGTATAGATCTGTTGTTCCTTGTCCCTTTCATCTGATGTAATTTTACCTTACAAGCAGGATTAAAAATCTGAATTTCCAGCAACTGTCTCCAATAACCACGAGATGCGTGAAGGAAAAGGATTAGTGGTCGTGTTAGCTCTCCTTTCCCCCCCCCCCCCCCCCCCGTTTTCTTTTTTTTTTTTTTTTTTTTTTTTCTTCCTTTGTTGCACAATGAGAATCTTCCTAAATGAAGAGCTGTGGGGTGTTTTCAGAAAAATGGCTCTTTGTGTGCTGTGTTGTCAACGGCTGCAGCTCCAGGGATACGTTGCTGGCTTGTCTAGAGTATTTGTGTCTACCCACGGAGCAGAACTCAGTGCGGGATGCAGTATCCAGTAACATCCCTTAGCCCAAAGGATGCACTAAATCCCAGCAGCCTGCGCAGGATGCTGTTAGGTCAGCGATGCGCAGGGTTATGGGGACTTGCTGGGGACATGAAGTAGCTGCGGTGGTTTTTTGCAGGCAGGTGATGGCTGTGGACCCGTCAGGTTGTCCGTTCCGGGGAAGCAGGCAGGTTAGG